ACACACACAACACACACACACACACACACACACACACACACACACACACACACACACACACACACACACACACCACAAACACACACCTCCCAGCACTCCCAGCACTCACAGGACAGATGCCGAAAACGGATATGGGCAGTGAGTTTGGTTGGTTGGTTTGTGTGAGCGGTGTCTTGTTGTTTTGATTCGGAGGTCCAGATCAACAGTCGATTGTTGGTAGATATCTTCCTTGAAACAGCGCTTATCACTGTAGCCTGAAAAAGCATGCTCCAGCTATTGGGATAAACTGCTAATGTTTTACAACAACAATCTGCGATTGCAACACACAAGCCACGCAAGCCAAACACACACAGAACAAGGACCGCCGACGCAAGTGCTGAGTCAACAAAGCCCCCTTGCTTGCTCACTTGCTTGCTTCAGCTGAGCAGCTCACACACACCACCACCATCCGTCATCACAGCACGCCCAACCGAGCTTCCGTTTCAGCAACACGATCATTCAAGTCGCAACTTCCCCATCCCCATCATCCCCCACCCCCCAATACCAGCCAGCCAGTCAAGTGCCGTTGCATTGCCGCAACCCTCATTAAGCAACCAACAAGCAGGTGAGCAGTGCGAGCCAGCGACAGCCGCAACCGGCACATGCCCACGTGTTCTGGCTGGCAGGACTGCCAGAAATTTCTTCTTCTGTGTATTTTTTCACACACTCACGCCGCTCGCACCCCCCAGGCCGAGGGATCATTTTTCGTGCATCCCCATCATCACCAAATCATCAGCCTGACCGCTTTGCACCCATCCACCAAGCTCGTGACTACCACCGAGACTACGTTCCACGATCACAGCTCAATCCGATTCTGTGCTCCAACAATACCGCTCTCTTCTCTGTGTCGATCCTTTCGTCTTCCCCATTGTTCCAACAGCAAACCATGTACAGCGTTGCAACCGCAAGCAGAGCCACACCTGCCGCTGTCGCGGCTGTTGCTGCAGCAAGACCTGTGGTGCTGGCTGCCTCTAGCCACGCACGCCACAAGCGCAGCGTGTCTTCCACCACACCAGCGTACGTGTTTGTTGGCTCTGGTTGTGTGTGTGTGTGTGTGTGTGTGTCTGTGCGTTTGTCCATGTGTGTGTGTGTGTGTGTGAGTGTGAGTGTCTCCATGCGGTCCTCCTCTGTCCGTCTGTCCTGCGGACCTTGCTTCGAGATTCCCATTTGTTCACGCTTGTGCCGTGTTCGTCTCATATCGCAGAGGACACGCCGCAGCCGGCTTGGGCGTCGGCAACATTCGAAGCGGCCTTGAGGCTGTGCATCGTGTCGAGGTGCGTGCATGTGTGGGTGCGTGGGTGCATGCGTGGGCGTGTCATGAACAAAGCAGTGACAACTCATCCTTTCGTGCTTTCTCTTCGTGTTTGCACTCGAATCACACACCCTCACCCTCGTCCACACGTTCAAGCTCGTCCACACCCTCACACGTGTGCACACATGCAACTCCTCCTCCTCCTCCTGCCCAACTCCAGGTGCCATGCCCAACATACCTCAAGAACCCAAAGACGTGTGCGGTGATTGGCGCGCCCCTGAGCTTTGGCCAGCCCTTTGACGGCGTGCAGCGCGGGCCCACCGCCCTGCGCGAGGCGGGCCTGCTAGACGGCATCATGAAGCTCGGCTGGCGCGTTACGGAGCGCGGCGATCTCGACTTTGGTGCCGCCGGCGCCGACGCTGCCGAGTACGCCGGCCCGGGCAACTGCAAACTTGCACAGGCCGTCGGTGCAGCCAACGAGAAGATTTACCGCGCCACAAGCGAGAGCGCAGGTGGGTGAAAGAAAAAAACAAAACCATGTATCCGTATCGTGTGTGTGTGTGTGTCTGCGTGTCTGTGTGTGTGTCTGTGTCTGTGTCTGTGTCTGTGTGCGAGAGTTCAAATTACTGCATGCTCACACACGCACACATGCACCTACACAACAGAGCAAGGCAAGTTTGTGCTGACGCTGGGCGGTGACCACTCGCTGGCCACGGGCACACTGGCCGGCGCCCTCTCGGTGCGCCCGGACGTCGGCGTGCTCTGGATCGACGCCCACGCCGACATCAACATCCCAGAGGTGCGCGCCCTCTCATTCTGTGATACCCCATGGCGCTGTCGCGTGCTCGTGCGTGGCCCCATCCCATCATGTCGTTTTGTTTTGTGCCTGCTTGCCTGCCGACAAACGACCTGCAAACAGCCTTCAACAACAACAACAACAACAACAACAACAACAACATCAACAACATGACTGACCATGTGAGCACATGCATGTGATGTTTGTGTGGCTGCCACCTGCTGCAGACGTCGCCGAGCGGCAACATGCACGGCATGCCACTTGGGCTGGTTGCCGGCCTTTGCGACTGCAAGACCATCCCGGGCCACGCCTGGCTCGCAGATGTCCCGAAGCTCGACCTCAACAACGTACGCAAGTGGCGTGGGGTGTTGTGTGTGTGTGTGTGTGTGTGTGTGTGGGTGTGGGTGTGGGTGTGGGTGTGGGTGTGGGTGTGGGTGTGTTGGTTTGTTTGTTTGTTTGTTTGTTTGTTGGTCTGTCTCTTCTTGTCTATCTGGGACTATGTGTGGGTCTGTATTTTTTGTTGTCTTTGAATGCTTGTCTGCTGGCTTGTGTTTGTCCTCATGATGAAAGCCACTAACGATGTGCATGCCCAACAACCTCACCCATGGCTCCTCCCCACACCACACCACACACACACACACACACGCACGCACGCACACACTCCAATACGACCTACCAGCTTGTGTATGTTGGGCTGCGCGATCTTGACATTGCTGAGCGCGCGCTGATCCGCTCGCACAACATCAAGGCGTTTACCATGTACCACGTGGACAAGTATGGCATCGGCAAGGTCATGGAGATGGCTCTCGACCACCTCGACAAGCGGCCCATCCATCTCAGCTACGACATTGACGCCTGCGACCCAGGTGCGGCATCGTCTTGATGTGTTGGGTTGTGTTTGTGTGTGTGTGTGTGTGTGTGTGTGTGTGTCTCTCTCTTTGTTTGTTCTGTGTTTATGCGCTGAATCAAAGTGCACATCTGCCGCTCACAGACATGCACACAATCACACACACACACACCCATACAATCACACACGTGCGCGCTTTTGTCCCCCCCCCACAACAGTGATTGCTCCGTCGACGGGCACGGCTGTGCGTGGCGGGCTGTCGTATCGGGAGGCGCACTTTGTTGCGGAGGCCGCGGCGGAGACCGGCAGTCTTGTCTCCATGGACCTCGTCGAAGTCAACCCGCTCCTCAAGGGCGAGGAGGTGTGTGTGTGTGTGTGGGTGTGTATGTTTCGTGTCCCTGTGTCTGTCTGTGCCTGTTTCCATACCCTTGTTCCCCTGTTCTCCATGTCTCTGTTTCCCTGCGTCGCTTGCCATCAGCCTTCCATCGCTCCTTCCACCATGTCCTACGCTTACACCATCCCCTCACCACCCCCCCCCCCACCACACACACACACACCACACGCCCGCGACCGTGCAGGCGTTTGGCATTTCCCTTGGCGAGGAGACTGTTGAGCTCGGCATGGCCATTGCCACCTCCGCCCTCGGCAACCGCATCCTCTAAGCATCTTCCCTCCCCGGACGAAATACCACCATCACCACGCATGTGTCCCGACGCGTGCTGCTTTGCTGTTGACACCACATAACTTTGACTCGACCCCCCCCCTCCCGCTCCTCGAACGCACCATTAACGCACCATTGCATCGTTGTGAAGTCCAATCCGCCCCGCAGTCATTTCCAGCCTGTTTCTGCGCTGTGATGTTACGTTGCGTTACTCGCACCGCTGCTGTCGTGGAGTACCTGCATGCAAAAGAAAGACGGCATGCGTCGTCGCTGTTGTTTGTTTGAAGTCCCGGGATTTGTCTTCTTTCTTCTTCCCCTCCTTTCTTCATTTCTCTCTCTTCTTTCTTCTTCTGCCATCACTCATCTGCTCGCTCCCTCACCTTTCTTTCCCTGTCTCTCTTCCTCCTTAGTCTCTTACTCGTTCGCATCGTTCTAAACGGCACCGTCTCGTATGTGTTTGTCTGTGTGTCTGTGTGTCTGTTTCAGTGTATCAGGCTCTTAGGTTTGCTTCCCCTCAACACATAAACAACGTTGCACTCAGATCGAACACTGTGTCAAGATGACAATGTCGCCACACAGCGCGAGACGCAAACAAACGGACATCACACTCGCCGCCGATTAGCGCTCATGTTCGTCAATTTTCCGCAACCACTCCAAGCCAGCTGCAACAGACGACGATGATGACGAAGCAAGCCACACAGCGCACCGTGCCAGTGCCGCTGCCGCTGCTGTTGATGGCGGTGGCGGCGGTGCTGGGTGTCCGGTGTTGCTGTGCAATGATGCATGTGGATGCGCCAGCGCCAGATCCCCCCATCAGCCTTCCACAGTGCCGAAGGCATCAACCGCTCGTGCTTGGGGAGGCATGTGTCGTGAATGGGACAGTGACTGAGGACCAGCCTGCGGTGACATCGTTCAGCTACCCACATTCCCCAGACAACACCATTGTGCCTCGGATCACATCCTGGAGCACAGCCAACCGCACAGGTGTCGGTTTTGTGTGGTGTGTGTGTGTGTCTGTGTGTGCCTGTGTGTGTCTGTGTGTGTGCGTGTGTGTATCTGTGTGTGTGTGTGTGTGTGTCTGTGTGTCTGCCTGCCTGCCTGCCTGCCTGCCTGCCTGCCTGCCTGCCTGCCTGCCTGCCTGCGTGTCTGTCTGTCTGTCTGTCTGCCTGTTTGTTTGTCTGTCTGTCTGTCTGTATCTGTGTGTCTGTGTCTGCGTGGTTGCGCTTCTAGGTCGTTCGTTATGTGTGTTGTGCACCTGCACGCCACTGCACCGTACTCAATCATGTTGCTGACCATGCATCAACTGCCCTGATCGACATTCAGGCCATGTCGGCTTTTTCCTCTCGCAGAGCTGCGGCTTTCAGCAGTGGAGCTTGCCCCTCGAAGCGCAGGGCTGCAAGGTTTGTGAGAACGCACTCTGTGTTTGTGGACGTGTACATTCTCTGTGTCTTTATGCATGTGCGCAGTGCTCGGGGGTCAGATGTCGGTGTGTTGCTGATGACTTTGAAAACCGACTCACAGCTACACTTTGGTGCTCGACGCGGTGGTTGTACTTTGTGGTCCAGTTTCCGCTGGTGCGGCGAAACATTTGTCCCGATGTGAGCTGCATGTCAAACGCATCAGACTGGGAGTTTAGCGTGACAGTGACCAGCCTGCAGCAGGAGCGGTTCATCTACAAAGCAGGTTTGCGTTGTGTTCGTGTGTGTGTGTGTGTGTTGTGTGTGTGTGTGTGTGTGTGTGTGTGTATGTGTGTGTGTGTGTGTGTATGTGTGTGTGTGTGTGTGTGTTTGTGGATGCGCATGGGTGCGCAAATTTACGTACATGTGCGTGTGCGTGCGTGACACTGAAGCTTACGCGTGCGTTGTATCAATGTGATCTGCCGACGTGCTGTGTGCTGCAGAGCTCTTTGATACTGCTGTGTCTGTAGGCACACCTCGCACCATCACGGCCTCCCCCAACTTGCCCGCGTACCTTCGGGTCAGTGCCCGCGCGCCTGTGAGCGCGGTTCTGCTCCTGTGTGCACGCGTTCATGCACACATATCCACTCCAAATGTCAACTGTAGCACGTCGTGGCGCATGTCTGCTTTGTACTGACGCACACATGCGCACACATGCGCATGCACATCTGTGCACGGGCACCACCAGAGACATTCAACGTCATGGATACGTACTGACACGCACGGTCACACACACACACACACACACACATTGAACTGCACGTTTGCATCCCTATGTTTGGTGCTGCTGTGACGTCAGCTCACCTTTGGGGACCACGAGCAGCTGCGTATTGATGTGCGGACAGACGCGCCGCACCCGCTTCGCAGCATCATCTCCCTCCAGAACTCATCATGCCCACTGTACGCGCATGCGCGCGCGTGTGTGTGTTTGTGTGTGTGTGTGTGTGTGTGTGTGTGTGTGTGTGTGTGTGTGTGTGTGTGTGTGTGTGTGTGTGTGTGTGTGTGTGTGTGTAACTGCGTCCCGTGCTTGACCACGCGCATTTTGACTTGTAGCAGCTGCAGCTTCCACACATGCACATCCAGACACACACATGTTCGCTTTTCTTGCGCCCCGCTTGCGAGTGCTGATACACATCCTTTCCTTCTCCTCTTCCTTGCTCCTCTTCTCACCAGGTATGATCTGGACTCCAACGTGCGCTTTGAGGGGTTTTACGAGACAGCGCTGCACTCGTCGACATTTGTTCTCGATCGCTCCCGTCTTGGCCCCGACATCTTTGTTGTCGTCATTGTTCTCCCGGACGAGCACACGTATGCAACAGTAGGGGAGGGGAGGAGGTGTCGTGGGCTGTGTTTGCGATGCTTCTTGTTGGTGCAGAGGCAGTGGGGATACGTGCCACACTCTTGTTTGTTCGTTCACCCACTCACGCACGTACGTGCACGCACAAACACACAAGTACACACACACACACACTCACTCACTCACTCAAACACTCACTCACTCGCTCTCATACACTCGCTCTCATACACTCACATGTACACACTGAACTCACGCAGGTGCGTGGCGGAGCCGCAGGACTTTGTTGTGGACGTGCAGTCGACAGACGACCTCGACTACACGTGGCCCGTCATGTTTGTCGTGGTGGTGTTCATCCTGGTCCCATATGGGCTGTACATGCTGGCCGTGTGGTGCGAGGTGCGTCATGGCGCCGGCATCAACGAGCCCGCGCCAGATGAGCTGCTCTTCCTCTTCCGCAGCCACGCCCGCAGGTCAAAACGCAGCGGGGCGCAGGAGGACTGGGAGGAGCGGGAGGACAGTGCGCTATTGCATCATGCACCGACATATGGAGCAATGGACCGGCCATTGCAGCCTCTGCACCCGCAACCTCGCCGCAACCCTCACGATGATGGTGGTGATGATGGGCGCGGTGAAGGTCAAGCTGCTGCGCCGGGCACGTCGCCAGCAGCACACGACCAGCACCACCAGCGGGCGGATGAGGAAGAACAAGCAGCAGAGAAAGGGGAAGAGGAGGAGGAGAACGGTCGTGGAGGAGAAGGGATTGCGCGGCAACAGGCAGCGGCCATGCTGCTGACGACGCGAGAGGCAAACACGACACCACAATCAGTATCAGCACCAGTCGCCCCGCTGAGCGTCCAGGCCCGCGGCAGTGGCAGTGGCAGTGGCAGTGGCGGCATAGTCCTGCGGGCGGAGTGGGACACGGGGCACAACTACACGGCATATGACCTGCACGCGTGTCGTGGACAGGAGCCGGCGATGGTGAGCCACCTAGCGCGCAAGCTGCCGTCCATCCAGGAGAAGAAGTTCAAGCAGTACGCGCTTTATCTGATTGCGCTGATGGTATTCTACGCGCTACCCGTGGTGCAGCTGGTGTACTCGCAACTCGACCACTTCCACGCTGGCAACCAGGACCTCTGCTACTACAACTTCCGCTGCAGCCGCCCGCTCTGGCGCACGTACTCCTTCAACAACTTCTTCAGCAACCTCGGCTACATCACGCTTGGGCTGCTGTTCCTGCTGATTGTGCGCCGCCGCCGCCGTCTGCTCGCGGAGGAGGCGTCCAACATCGACCTCGACACGGCCACGTCCCCCGATGCAGCGCTGGGTCTGCCCAGGCACTCTGGCATCTTCCATGCCATTGGGCTGGCGTTTGTAGCCGAGGGCGTGTTCTCTGCGTGCTACCACACGTGCCCGACGCCCGTCAACTTTCAGTTTGACACGTCGTTTATGTATGTCATTGGTGTCTTGATGGCACTCGTTCTCTACCAGCGCAGGCACAACGACGCCCTGGTGCGGCCACGAGCGAGAGGGCAAGGACGCGGTTCGGAGTTAGGGGTGGACGTTGCGGAGGGTAGCGCAGGAGCCTTGTGTGTGTGTGTGTGTGTGTGTGTGTGTGTGTGTGTGTGTGTGTGTGTGTGTGTGTGTGTGTGTGTGTGTGCCTGCTGTCGTACTTACATGCCGCTGTCCAGCACTGACACGTCACTATGACGCCACTTTTTTCCCTCACTCACTCACACCACCACCCGCGCGTGTGTCCCCACCTGCCAGCCGAATCCGCACGTGACCTATCTGTGGATTGCTGCGCTCATCTTTGTCGTCGTGATTGGCGTTTACTGGCACTCCATCTACTTCTACGCCATCGTCCTCATTGTAGCACTGCCGCTCTCGTTCATCGCGACGTTGCAGGTGCGGCACGCTCGCTTTTCATGCAAGGGTTAACAACGACACACACACACACACACACACACACACACACACACACACACACACACACACACACACAGATGCGGACGCTGCAGCCTGAAAAACAAAACCACGCACAACAATACACGAACAGATACACGCACAAACACAAGCAGACACACACACACACACATTTACGCTTACACATATACACACTTACACACACGCTCTCTCACTCTCTCACACACACGCACATACACACTTACACACACTTACACTCACATACCCCCACCCCTTTCGTCTCGACCGCAGCTGTACTTCTTTGGGCTGTGGGGCTGCATTGCACCGAAGGAGCCGCTGCCAGCCAACATCATCTCCCTCTACTTTCTCAACTCATTCACGTCCCCGCGGTGGTGCTCTCTGTCGATGCCCCGGCGCAAAGGGCGCGCGCTGCTGCTGCTCGTCATCAACATCATCACGTGGATGGCGATCATTGCTGGCATGGTCACGCAGTTCCAGGACGTGCCCACGTTCTTCCTTGGCCTGGCCATCATCAACTACCTCATCTACTTCTGCTACTACGTCACCATGAAGCTGCGGCACGGCGAGCGGCTCACCCGCCTGCCCGTCTTGGTGTTTGTCGCGTCGCTGGCGCTGTGGGGCGCTGCGCTGTACTTCTTCAACGACCGCGCGTCAAGCTTCTACCTCACCCCGGCCGCCTCTCGCGACCTCAACAAGGAGTGCATTCTCTTCCGCTTTTACGACACGCACGACCTGTGGCACATGCTGTCTGCATATGGGCTCTTCCTCAATGCCATTGTGCTCCTCTCGCTCGACGACGATCTCAGGGCAACGCCGCGCGCTCGCATCCCCGTGTTCTAGCTGCTCTGATTGTGTGTCATGTGTGTAAAAGAGAGAGGGAGTGAGAGAGTGTGTGTGTGTGCGTGTAAGAGAGAGAGAGAGAGAGAGAGAGAGAGTGCGTGTGTGTGTATGTGTGTGCGTGTGCGTGTAAGAGAGAGAGTGTGTGTGTATGTGCGTGTGCGTGTAAGAGAGAGAGAGAGAGAGAGAGAGAGAGAGAGAGTGTGTGTGTGTGTGTGTGTGTGTGTGTGTGTGTGTGTGTGTGTGTGTGTGTGTGTGTGAGTGCCCTGCCTTGTTGAAGGCTGATTTATGTGACATGAGTGAAGTTGCTGTGGGCTGCTGTTAGTTAGTTACAGTTCATTATGGGAGCCCTGCACGCCTCTGCTGGCTATAAACTACCCTCTTGAATGCAATCATGAAACACCACTCGTTCAAGCGCACACAAAGAGGGGGAGAGAGAGAGAGAGAGAGAGAGAGTGTGTGTGTGTGTGTGTGCGTATTCTCACGTGTGTTCTGCGTTCTCAAATCTGCCTGCAAGGACAGGATCAATCAAGAGATGTGGTCGTGTGTCGCGCTGCTTCGCACTCATGTCGTGCCCGCGATCAACACTTCCTTTCCACCTCCCATGTCGTTCTTCATCACTACCATCACCACCACCGCCACCACCACGATGATCACCACTTTCCCCATTCGCATCAATGCCTGCCACACTGCCGTCAGCGGCGTTGAAGAGGGTGCCGAGGGTGAGGGACATGTGCGATGGCAGCGGCGCCACAATGTGCAGGGGTGTTCCGTCTGTGAAGTACGATGGGATGAGCAGTTCGTGTGCGTGCAGGTGCTGCAGAATGCCGTGTTGGTACGGCGGATGGCCCAGCCCGGCCCGCTTCAGCTGGCGCCTGATGCGTGACGCCGTCTTCTCAGCGCCGCGCACGGGATCTGAACGCGGTACAGTATGCATGAGGGTGTATGTGTACTCGTGTGAGTGTGAGTGTGTGTGTGTGTGAGTGAGTGCGCGCGCGCGCGCGTGTGTGTGTGTGTGTGTGTGTGTGTGTGTGTGTGTGTGTGTGTGTGTGTGTGTGTTGAGGACAGGGAATACGGGTGCTATGTCTCTTTCAGCACCAGGCGCACTTGTATGCGATGGTGTACCACACATGCACAACAGCGAGCATTTCTACACATTGTCCAGCTCCACCTGCCTCACAGACACACAAAGACACGCACGTACTCGCACAAAGGCACGCGGGTACTCTCGTATACCTTCATCTGGGTGTGGTGATGACCATGTGCCAGATGCGTTGCGAAACGGGTTATTGGTGTCCATCGTTGGCGTTGCGACAACAACAGCCAAGTACGTCTTCTGAATAAGACGCTGCGACGAGACGAGGAGAGACCAGCATTGAGGGTTGGGAATCGTGAACGTATAATGGGCGAACACACAAGCACAAGCACAAGTTGCCGCAGCAAGACTGCGGAAAGAGAGAGAGAGAGAGAGAGAGAGAGAGAGAGAGAGAGAGAGAGAGAG